TTTCGAGAACCACCCTCAGATGCTCCTCATGCTCCTTCTGACTCTTCGAGTAGATAAGGATATCGTCAATGAAGACAATAACGAACTGATCGAGGTATGGATGAAAGATACAGTTCATGAGATCCATAAAGACTGCTGGGGCATTGCTGAGACCGAAAGGCATGACTACGAACTCGTAATGGCCGTAACGAGTCCTGAAAGCGGTCTTAGCGATGTCTGACTCCTTAATCTTCAGCTGATGGTAGCCTGATCGAAGATCAATCTTCGAGAACACACAGGCTCCCCTCAGCTGATCAAATAAGTCGTCGATCCTGGGAAGCGGGTACTTGTTCTTGATCGTCAACCGGTTAAGATCCCGGTAGTCGATACACATGCGCATGGATCCGTCCTTCTTCTTAACAAAGAGAACGGGTGCTCCCCAAGGTGACACACTCAGTCGGATGAAACCGAGTCGCAACAACTCCTGAATCTGCACCTTAAGCTCCTGCAACTCCTTAGGCGCCATACGGTACGGGGCTTTGGATACTGGACCGGCCCCTGGGATGAGATCAATAGAAAACTCCACCTGACGGTTGGGCGGTCCTCCTGGAAGCTCGTCTGGGAATACGTCTATGAACTCGCGAACGATAGGAACATCATGAGGTGAACGCACTCTCTGAGAATCATCAACGAGGCTCACCAGATAACCCTGGTGGTTGCCTCGTCGCAGCAACTTAGTGGCTTTCGCCATAGAAACAACATGAGGCAAAGAACTGTTTTTGGAGCTGAAGAAAGTAATCGGCTCATCTCTCGGAAGATAGAGAGTAATCTCCCGGTCATGACACTTGATATCCGCATGATAAAAGGATAGCCAATCCATTCCGAGAATAAGGTCGAAGTCCTTCATCTCGAGAATAAACGCGTCGGTAGGCAAAACTCGGCCACCGATGGAAAGGCTAAGATCTGAAGCTTTAGCTGAAGTCACTATCTTTCGTCCCGAGGCCAAACTCACCTCGAGAGGATCGATAGCGGTAGTAGCGCGGACTCCGATGGCATCAAGACATCGTCGTGAAATGAAAGTATGCGTCGCTCCGGTATCAAATAAAGCAAATACAGGAACATTATTAAAAATAACCATTCCGGACATGGTACCTGGCTGCTGCTCGGCCTCTGCCTGATCGATGGCGTAAACTCTGGCCTGCTGTCTGCCCCTCTGCTGCTGCTACTGGGGCTGTCTCTGCGCCTGCTGACGGGGCTGCTGCTGCTGCGGTGGCTGCTGAGCCTGCTGAGGCTGCTGCCCCTTCTTCGGACAACGGTTCACAAAGTGTCCGGCCTCGTGACACTAGTAGCACACATCCTGACCAAAGCGACACTCGCCTCGGTGATGTCGTCCACATGTCGGGCACTGTGGAACCTGCTGTAGCTTCCGTCGAGCCCTCTTATCTGTCTGGGCACCCTTATCCTTCCTCTTGTTGCTCTTGGGCGGCTGGGTAGATGGCAAAGCTGGCATCGGTGGAACTGAAGACGACTGACCACGAACGGCCTCCCTCCCAAGGCTAGCATCCACCTCCTGAGCAATGGAGACTACACGAGCGTACGTCTGGGTCCCGTGGCCTACGATGTTATGACGGACTGCTGGGTAAAGTCCGTCAATGAAACGCTGCGCTCGCTGGGCCTCCGTGCGGACCAGATCAGGTACAAAAGCTGCAAGTCTCGTGAACTCTCTCTCGTACTCGTCGACAGTACGAGTACCCTGCCGGAGCGATAGAAACTGACGCTCCATCTCTGCTCGGTAGTAGGTGGGATAGTACTTCTCGCGGATCAAGTCCTTGAGCATCTCCCACGTACATCCCGCCTTCTCACCGGGACGCATGCCCCAGTAAGCGTTCCACCAAAGCCTGGCATCCCCGGTGAACTGAAGCTGAGCGCAAATGACGCGATATCTCTCAGGGCACTCCATGACCTCGAAGATAAACTCCAGGCCCTGAATCCACTCGTCAACTACGCGAGGGTCTCCCTGCCCTGAGAACTTCTCGGCGTGATAGTCGCGGAACTGGGCGACCACAGTAGCCTGAGTTGGTGCCATCTGAACATTGAAAGAGTTCGAAATTATTGAACATGATGATATTCTGACTGATTGCTAAGGCACACAGATCTCTTGACGAGTTGCCAAAAATGGCCGATAAATACTGACATGAAACCTGAGGAACTCTAGAGTCATATCGAAAGATACTAAAGTCTAGAGTCATGCCTGAATATACTGATCTCTAAAGTCAAGTCTGAATCTACTGAATTCTAGAGTTATATCGGAACCTTAAAGTCTGAATCTGAATTGAGCATCTTAATTAAGTCTGATTACTGATTTCTGAGCATAGACAAAGTAATATGTTTATAACTGAAAAACTGAATCAACACTTACCTGGAGTCGGCGAGGCGTGAGCGTGACGGTTCAGGTTTTTATGAAAGTTTTTGACTGAAAAACTTTTCAGAGACGCAAAAACGCGCGCTCTGATACCAAGTTGTAACGCCCCGACTTTCTAATACATCAGAGTACGCGATTTTTCGCAAATTTTCTGAATAAATAAATAAATAAATAAACTTCTTAATTTGCGAAACTGATTCGGGGGCTACCGTGAAAAACTTAATTTTTGAAAACCGTTAAAGTTTAAACTGATACATAAAAACGGTCATAATGTCTTATCCGACTAACGTCGGAGCAAAGTCTGATAAAAAGAGTACTTAGGAATTTAGCGGAAGTCTAGCGTGGCAAAAACATAAAGGTCTGATGATAAGTACTGAAAAGTTTTAGCATGGTTTAACATGAAATACAAAAATCATAAATGTCCTGAACAGCTCGCCCGCTCACTCCTCGTCCCCGACCCTGCGACCTGAAAATCATGAAAGATGTGGGGCGTGAGCACTAAGGCACTGTGCTCCGCAGAAACTTATGCTAATGTACAACATCGTAAATAATAACATGATCATGAACTGAGTATATACAACTGAACTGAAACTGATAACTGATAAACCGGTCTGATCTCGCGACCGAAGTCACGTAACTGATAACTGAATCTCGCAACATAAGTCGCGTAACTGATAACTGAAATCTCCCGGCAAAACTAACACCGGACCATGTGCACACTCTAGTGGCTAGATTAGGCCACTAAAACTCAGAATGGACCGGCGACCATTCCGAGCGGCTACTGATATACATACCTCGACCATGGTAACGTGATTATAAACCATGTAATACTTAGTCTGAGTCCCCACCTGAATTTGCAGAAATTGAAACTGAGAGGCAGTGCTGATATCTGATCAAACTGAAAATAATATAAACAATTACTATTGACTATGCTCAAACTGATAATTTAGCTGTTTAATTATGATAAGATGCTTTATAGAATCTGACATGATATTCGTACTTATTCGGCATAACTAAAACCGGTTAAGTACAGAACTGAACTGAATTTGACCCAGAAATTAACTGAAAATAACACTGAAACTGAAAACCGGGACTGAAACTGAAAATATCTAACTGAATCGGTCCAGCCGGTCTGAACCGGTCTGGACCGGACTGCCGGTCCGCTGAAC